AAAACAAAGAAATTCAATTACTTGAGCGTGCTATGTATATTGTGAGACCATATACACATGAAAAGGCGAAAAAATTTTTTCATTCAAATCATTCCGCAGTCCAGTCCAATTCAGTTCTATTTTTCCGTCACATTATTCCCGATAAGTAACCATCCTGTCACTAATTGTCTTTCTTTTACTCGCTTGACCGGCACGTGTTGAGCGCAGTGTGCGGAGCTGTCCGCTTTTTCTCCAGGATTTGACGATTAATATTACCAGGACTTGTCTTCTCTGCTAAAAAAATGAAAACTGAATCACGAATTTTACCGTCTCTTCTGCTTGTTGCAGTTGCATTTGGAACTGTAGTTGAAGGTAGGTGAATGATTTATTGATCCTGATGTGGCGAAACTAAACAGATTCATTCCATCATTGAAAAGGGCAAACGTAAATCGCCTGTGTGTAGGGGAAACTTAACAGTCTTGAGAAATATCGCAATTGGTATTTTCAGCAAGCGCTTCCATTGCAAAAGCTCTACTCCAGGGGTATTATGACATAAACGTCCTGTAACCTTTACAATGCGTTTTTTAATTTTTTTTTTTTAAAAAAAGACGCAGTCACAATTATTGTAAAATCTACTAACCAGAAAAAAAAAACATTAAATTGTACATCAGGATTTTTTATACAACCTAGCCACCCTTAGAAAATCACGCAGTGCACCGTTCGATAGCCTTGTTCGGTCATTTTACTGAACAATTTGTCGGGCAAAAAAGCAGCTCGGACGAAATATACATGTACGTGTATTTTTAAAAGTTTTCTTTTCGTTTGTTGTGTGATTCCATAATAATATCTCGAAAAACTACTCCTCAAAACAGGCCAAATTACTTTGGCTATATACTCCAAGTCGATTCATTAATTGACTGCATTTCATCGCTTCCTGTGAATAAAGGAGGTATGCAAATTCCTTGATCACGTCAACACTTCAGACAGCCCTATCTATAACATTCGTTGTGTCCTTTCCTAATATAAAAAGAAGTCCCATTTTACCTACTACTAAAAATAATTTTTTTAAAGGAAAACGTGCCTTTTCAGGACTTAGCTAGTTAGAGATTTCCTTCAGGTCACTTAATATGACTGCAAGGTCGAGATGTGTTATCACATGTCAACATTACTACTCAAATTTTTAAGTATTCAGTAAACAAACAATCATTTATAAAATGTGTCGCCACGAAAACTATGCACATGGTTTGAATACATTCATTTGCTGTCACAATCCTATGCCACTTAGTTCGAAGTTGCCCTGAGAAAGTGCAGTGATCGGTGGCACGATGTGGTCTGACATTACGAAATCCTCAGTATAACAGCGAATTTTAACTATTTTATAAACCTAACTCGTTACCAACAGAGCAACAGAGATCATACCACTTTTCGCGGGAAATTTCCCCAGTGGACCCTGTGTGGATCCGTACTAACCTGCGATCAGGCGTTATTCTTTTTTCGGGGATAGCGCGAAAGTCCAAAACAAAAAGGGAAGAGGGACCGCCTGATCGCAGGTTAACCCCGTACACAAAAGGAACCGTCAAGTTGATGCTCACCGTAGGTTATGGGGCTGGTAAATTGAATATTTTTGTGTTTTGGACGGGAAGCTCTTTTTTTCCCATACAGATGAAAAGAAAAAAAACAAAAGACAAAAAGCTTTTAAAATAATGACAACATCTTTTTAGAAAGGTAGCTTTTAAGGGTCAAACAATGCTTTCTTATTTTGGCATACTTTTGGTAACTGGCCTAGCAGCCTTGTTCCCAGGTTGGAGAGGACTCTGGGAACGAGATTGACTTGCCGAGTTGCTATAATCGTGACACTTGGTCATAAAAAAATAAGTTTTCTTAAATTTGAATTCTCCAGCTGTGAACAAATGGCCTGGTGGAACATACGGGATACCACGTGCCCAATCTGGCTGTCCATCGTCCTTTGGATTCACTTGGCGCACTGGATGGCGTTACCAAGATACATCAGACTTTTTCCCAAGTAATAAACACTCCAACAACTTCCATTTAGATGCCAGTGTGGACAAAAATAATCTGAAACGAGCCTTTTGTATGAAAACGGACAAAGCTAAAGACGCGTCAAGACCACGTTGGCCCAAAGGTATAAGCTTCCTCAAGCAAGGAATAGCTGAGTAGAATACGCTAACTTTGTTACTTTTCTCGTAACATGTGCAAATGGTTTAATATTTTTGGCTTCTCGGATAAGTACAGAAAACCGCAGGCTCCGTCTCACAACACTTCTCCGGGTCTGACCTTTGTGGGACGCTAAAAAACCCACACCCACAAAGGTGATGTTCAAAAAGAGTATGGGACGTAGTCTTTGGTCAGGTTGGTTTCAATTGGGACGCAAGCCCTGTTCCATCCCCAGTTACCGCGTTGACTTACCAGGGCGACTCTTTCAAGGAATTACACTAAGGTGGTCGTTGTGTTTGTCGAGGTTCGACTTAAAAAACTCTTGCGGGAGTCGAGATTGTGTTAATCTCCCAAAGTTGTCCGCAGCTATATTCTTCTCCTATATTCTCGTCCCATCTGTGATCATTTTTTAAAATTCTGATCATTAGATCGTGAAGGCTAGAAGATCAAAAGGAATGAACAACCCAAATGACTTCCTCGCTCTCCTGCTTTTACAAGACACATTTACTAATTTATGCTTTCTCTTCTCTTATCTACTTTAAAGGCAAATACTGCATTTACAAGAAGGTTTTATGCCCTACTGGATTCCAAAACGGCTACATCACTTGGGATGACGAAGACTGGTTTAACAAGAACAACAAAGGAGGTATTCTTCCGGACGGTGTGTATGGCAGTAACACAAAAATTTACTACTGCTGCAGAACAGACGGAAATAAAGTGGAGCCCATTGAGCTTCCGACCATCAAACCTTTTTTTCTGGTGGCTTATGGTTCTGCCTCTTGCCAGCAAGTAATGTGGGCTCAAGCTAGTTCGGAATGGATTCGTTTTGACACTGAAGAGGATGACGACGGTTATGGAGGGGCGTATCCTTACGGGGCAGGGATGAATGACCACACCATTCACTACTGTTACTATTCAAGTGAGTAGATATTTCAACCGCTGGAAGTTACAATAAGCTTGCCTACCGCATACCAAATATGCGAGTAATATTTTTAACAGTGCTACTGGGGAATTTTCATCAATTCAAAAGAAAACACAGAAGACCTGGTCTCTCTATGTTCCGTTTTTGGATGCGTGGTCTAATTATTATTATTATTATTATTATTATTATTATTATTATTATTATTATTATTATTATTATTATTATTATTATTATTTGCTCTGAATTTCTCCAAGCCTTATCAGTTCTATCCGAAACGCACCAATGACATTTAAGAGTCTCCATAGCCAATAAAATCACGGCTTAACTGACGGACGGCCAATAACATCACCACTTAATTGACCAATCGGGTCAATAAGCAGAGTTTAATACCATCAATGACGCGATACAACTCACTTTGACTCTGAAGATGACTACCTCACAGGTTGTCGAAACGTCAGTCACTGTCAACAACAGTCCTATTCAGGACTACGTTCACCCGGACGATCATACTCAACCTACTTATGAAATGACCCCTCAAAGCCAGCTTAAAACGTTACTGTAGGCCGTAACCTTTTTTTCTCTAACTACTGCATTGTATTTAGACCACAAATTATCTCACATTTTCCTTAGATAGCAATTCAACTAGTAAATTACAATCGCGCGCTTGCGTATTTCGCTCGGTCTACGTATTACCCCTAAGACACAGCGTGTCCTCTTTCAGTTTACCGCCGAAAACCAGAGGGCATAGTTTATTTGCGTCTAAAGCAATAGTCAACGGTTTTGTTGTTGATGATGATGTTTTTGTTCTTTTATTTTGTCAGGTTGTAACTATACATTGACTTCATCTAGTGGCTCGTTCCAGTCTCCCAATTATCCAAATTCTTATCCGGCAGGCCAGTACTGTTCCTGGAGGATAAAAGTTCCCGAGGGTCTTCAGGTAAATAAGCCGCTTATTACTCTGTTACTTTGTATTTGTTTGAGACCCTTTGGTAAAAGTTCAGTTCATCTTAATTCACCGCTGTTGAAGCGAGAAGAAAACTTTTTTTTTTTAGATCGGTTTCAGTTTCGGTTATATGAGTCCTTTTGCGGGTTTCGGTTTTAAGCCATTATCAAACAGCGGCTGCGCAGTTTAAATCAGAAATAGAATTCTGGAGGTGGGGGAATAATTTGAAGATGTGACTTGCGTAAAATTCTCAACAGCTCCAAGAAGGCCATTTTATGTCATGATTAAAGACTCAAGGGACCTGCTAAGGGATGACTACAGGTTCCACAGTCATCAGTGCTTCGTGTCCCTAAGATGGTCTGTTTTAGTTTCAGAGCGTAAAAAAGTTTATTTAGTCCATGTTTTATTTGTACAAGTATGAGTAGGAGAAAATCCTGAGAATGAGGTTGACAGTTGGCGTGACACGAATAGGGAGTTTAAGCAGCAACGTTCTTAAGCGACGCACGTTAAAAGGAAGTGAGCCTTTTTTTTAGAATACCTTAACGCCACCAAATTTGTATAGCTAAGTTTCTTTGCTCTTAAAGAGACGATTTGCCAAAAAACTTTGTTCAAAATCACGTCTCAAGAGTGTAATAAGTCCACTTCCGGTTTACGTGCGTCGCTCACGAGAAAACCCCGTCGCTGCTTAAACCCTCTAATATTCAGAACGATCTTTGTGTTTTATGAATTTATGTTTTCTAGGTGGTATTGAGGTTTCCTGAATTCACACTCCAGAAAGGAATTAACACGGACAACGTTCAACTGTTCGACGGACAAAATGAGACTTCACCCTCCCTGGGTGTGTACTCAGGCGACAAGCTACCTGCACCTTTTGGAGTACGATCATCATCTAACGAGATGTTCGTCATTTTTAAGACTGATAACAAGATTAATTTTCCTGGATTCAAGGCCTCATATTCCGCACAGAGGCCTACACGTAAGTATAAAAATATAACAACATTTTCAAATTTCAAAATGTGGAAGATGAATTTTAGGTGAAGATGGAATTCGTATAGAAAGTCGAAATGCATCAACTCAATGTCTTTGTTTGTAAGAGGAAAAAAATACCCAAGCTTGGTGCCGCAACTCGATCGCTTGCGAGTTAGTTTTAACTTAGAAAAGTTCGTCAGGAAATCAAAACAAACCATTCAAACTAGATATTTATAGAAAGAAACACTTGACAGTTTCAAAAAATGATAACCTGTGGTGCCCTTAGTGTACACCAGACGCGGTTAATCGATAAAAATCGATATCGGAAATCAGTTGATATCGTCGATATTAATCGATTTAATCCGCCGATTAATATCGATTGTTATCGGAAATCGGTAGAAATCGAGTTCACAGAAAAAATAGTTTATCGATTATTAACTATTAACAAAATCGATAACAATCGATGGGGATCGATAGTAATCGATAGCAATCAATAAAAGATCATTATCGATTTCTATCGGAAATTCATCGATATTAATCAAAGTCACAACTTTTTTTTCTTAATTGATTTCTATCGATCGATATCGGAAATGAATACTTATCGATGATTGATATCGATTACTATCGATGATCGGTTTATCGATTAAGTACGTCTGGTGTACACAAAACTTCCCTCTGTAATATGCAAGAGTGGCAGCAACCTTGCATAATTGAATTCTCGTCGAATTGATCTTTTCTTTTCTCTGTTTAGAACCTCCATCAACTGTAACAACCGCCTCGAATGTTTCCACAACGACCTCTTCAACAACCGCGTCCAGTACAACGAGAAAACGTTTGTCAACAAAGCCAACCTTTAAAACTACTTTTAGCAGCAGAAGCACTCAGACATCAGCACCAACCGCCGCACAGACAACCCACTCCCCGACTTCTACACAGATAACGTCTTCACAAATAACTGCCCAGACAACTAATTCCCAGACGACGGCACACAAAACCCATTCTCCAGTCACTGCTCAGACGACACATGTCCCAACTACTGTAGGTAAGACCCCTGTGCGAACTACTATACAAGGAACCAAAGCTACCACCGCATTCAAAAGTAAAACAAGCACAACAGGCACCGTCAAGACCTCGACATCTAAATCCTCTCCTGTCACAACCACCGCTGCTAGCACCATAGGTCGTACGACAGGGACTGAAAACACTGCGACGCCTGTTACAAGTCAAGGTATAACAACCAAAAGCTCAAGCAAAGGAGTCTCTGTAAATAGAGGTAACATTTTTATTTGATAGTAAGTCATGCAGTTACTGGTAACACAGATGCTAAGACAGTGCACGCTAACCTAAGGCAGGAATTTTAAGCAATAACCGTGCTAATACTACAGTCTTACCCCCCTACCCCTATCCATACCTTTTGGATACCGACATCTTTATAATGGGGACAGTTGCATCTGTCCTTTGATGTCCGCACTAAGTGAGTTTTGCTGTTGAGCGTTTTGCGCGGACGATTTTGGCGTCGTTCCTCACAGCGTATATGTATATATATGTAAAACACTGCGTGAAGGCAAAGGGGAGAGAGGCCATTACAAGCCATTCTATGACCGCCACCAGAACCACCACTTTTTTATCGTTATGATGGTCGATTCTAGTTGTTCACTCAGTCTTCTGGGCTCAAACGGCAAAGAATTTTTTCCATGACAAAGACAGATGGAAGGCAAATAGGAACGAGATAGAAAAGGACTTCCTAAACCCTCTCTTTGCTCTTAACAGGTTCAACGAAGCCCCGAAAGACCGAGCCTACTGATGAATCCCTACTCTCAACTCAAGAAACTCTCAGAAATGAGTCCTCGATTAGTTATAGTAAAAAGGAGCCGGACAATGGATCATCCAATGTGCCCTTGATTATTGCTCCTGTGCTGTGCTTTCTACTTCTTGGATTTTGTCTTTTTACGCTTTTTCTTTACCGCAGAAGGTGAGACGTCACGTGCTTACGGCAAACTTTGCGCGTCTTTGCTTATGCGTGTTTTAGTTTGTCAGTAGTGTTTTACTATCAAAGTCTGCATCTCTTACGAGAAATCACTGTTTAAGGAATTCAGTTAAAGGTAACTAGCTGATCATGATGGATTGACTAATTGATAGGCTGAAAGAAAGATGGGTGGCTGACCGCCGTTTTGGAAATTGGTTTATTCCTCCGGCGAATGGGAGGTTAATACATTTGTCGAAATTTCTGGTGCGCGTGCATTGCATTGCGAGCTGTGATGTCGCTTTCGTTATATATATTTCTAAGGAACAAAACTGCGCAAAACAAACTTGGCATGGTTGTTTTTGTGGCCGTTTCAGTGGTCAGGAAATGCTTCAGCCAATAAATTATCGTGGTAGAATTACTTTACAGAGAAAATGGACGTTATCTGGATCATTCGCGCCAAAATAAGAGTGAAAACTAAAGTAAAAGAACATTTGTATTGCTTCTCAGTTCGCGCATGTTTTTGCTTTTGTCGGCTGAGTTCGACAGGTTCTAGTCTAGCTTTGAATTCATGTTATACCATGCCAAACCCGTAATGAACTTGGCAGTTAACCCCGCTGATGGATTAGAGACTGGTCTCGGCATTTGTAGCCTTTACAGTCACAAGTGAGACTTACTTTTTACTCGTTGCGTTTGCTTGGGAACTCGGACGTTTATGTTCCATCCCATTCGACGGCCGTTTTGCTATACGCATTTAAATTAAAGCGGGCGATGAAAAACAGGAATAGCAATCCATATAGAGTATAAATTCCCGGCTGGTCCCCCACCTAGTTATTAACCCCGCCAGTCAGTGTGGCACTTAGTTGGCCCTATAACCACGAGGTTCACGACGTTTTGCGAGGCACGTTATCCAACTTAATTAAATAAATGATTGTTTTATAGATTGATAGTAACATGAAAAGTTAATTGATTGATTGATTGACTGATTGACTGACTAGTTTACTGATTTTTTTTCAGGGACCCAAAACGAAATAAAATGCCGGAAAGCAAGCAAATTGTTTATTACGAGAGGTAAGAAGCGCCTTCATCAACCTGATATAACTGTGACGTTTACATAATTCAACTTCTGCTAAAAGATTGATTTCACATTGACAACAATGGGTTTTACGCGGCGAGACATAAAAAAATTATTATTTTTTTCTCTTTAACAGCAATCCCAAATCAGAGTCAGTGAACAACCCCCTCTACGAAAGGTATGAATTATGAATTTACCTTTTGGTATCACAAGAACAGTCCTTAAGCAGTACATCTTTCTATTTAAAGGCTCATCACACGCTAATTGAAATTGACATAAAATTTTATGGCAAGTTCAATGATTTGTTACCTCTGCATCGTGACGCAAAGAAAAACAAACAAACAAACACACAAAATAATTTGTGTTATGCGTCCCACAGGACGCAAAGATCGATTGATCGATCTGAAGATGTTTTTGTAGAATATGGTTGTGTGATTTCTGTGGCTGTTGTTAAACGACGCTTATTTCTTTTAGTCTTAGAAGGAGTATATTTTTATTTCAGTAAACTGTAATACAGAGTTTGGAGTCTGACTACAGATTAACTGTGTGGTTACAAAAGACTCAGGGACTCATTGTTTTTTTAAACTGAGAGTCAATAGTTCTGGAGTGGGACTCATGATTTTTCACAAGAGGGGTCCCAGGACTCACCATAACTATTTGTAACAAAATCACTGCAAGTTCAGGTCAAATGGAGTACCTTTTAGTAACTTAAGCACTGTTTTGACCAAATCAGCAGTCACATGGACATGAAATAAGTGAACATTTTGGTGGAAAAAGATGTCACACCCATTGTTACAATCTCCAGGACTTATAATGAAAATCTTCAGTTTATCTGGGATGTCATGACACTTTCATTATTTAGAATCCCTTCTGGGAATTACTTGTTCTAATAATAATAATATTTATTGATTTTTATTGCGCAAATATCAATCCAGGGAAAGAAATTTTCATCTGGTCGTTTGTTTGTTCGACACTCACAATACAATGAAAACTCAATTTTTTTAAACCTGAAACACTTTTCAGGTTAAATTCATAAGTTGCCGACAGTCTCTTTTGGCAGTGACTAACACCAACAACAACTACAAACATATTTTTCCAATAAATATTAAATTTAAAACATTATTTCATAAATACACTAATTTTCTAACTCATCGTCATTACCAGACTAGATTATTAATGTTGGATTAATCCCTTTTTTAATTAGTAAAGGCAATTGATAGAATAGCTCCATAAGAATTTAGTCTTGATCCAAAATGTTTTGATCTACTAAAACAACATTTTGTTTTTTATAGTGGCGTAGAGTTCTCATCGGGTGTCTCGACAGAAAACCCAATCTATGATGCGTAAGTATATTGTGTAAATGTTACTAAATTGTTAATTCCCAAGAGAACTGTGTTTATTTGCAGAGATTAAAAGTAAAGGAAATAAATAACAAATTTCATTCGGTAGAATACTGCAAAACAAATAGTATCATACAAACGTGCTGCTGAAGCGCCTAGTGTCCTTTGAATGGTCGTACCATTCTGAGGATTTTTATATTCACAGACTCAAAACTGAAAAGATAGATCAAGAACTACACGCTACAATATAAATGGCGCCATGCAAACATGCTGTTGAAAAGATTTCAGTTAAATGCACTAAAAACACCGCAGCTAAGGATTTCTGCGACAGTCTCAAGCGATTCAACTACATACAAAAACTATCGCAACTTACGCAGTTCAGGAAGTTCTGCACAAGAAATGTGAAGTGGTTTCATTTACATCTGTTTAACTAATTGACCACACCGTAATTTTATTTGGTCCATAGACCTTGGGTTATAGTAAATACGAGCTTCGACTAGGCAAATATTAATTTTTGTGAATGAAATAGAGTTGAAGTACTTACATTGATGTAGTCTTTTGTCCTTCCTAGTCTTTCAGTCTCTCCCTCTGTCATTATTTTGGCAAAACATAAAAAGCGCCCCATTGATTCAAAGTTTTCAAACGATCCGCCAAGCATTGGTTCTAGTCTAGGTAACCGCGCGCTTAGCGCCCGCGCCTAAGGATTCGAAGAATTTCCCAGTCCGGGCGGGGGGGGCGGGGGGGGGGTTTGAAGGGTAATGATGAAATTGAAACAAAATAAGAGGATTGGTCATTTTCTTGATCTTCAAGGATTCCTGAATTTCAAAGTTAATGACTATAGCTTTTCACTTTAGGGGAGCTGAGCTCGGATTATTTAATCCGCTGTACCATTCCAAGCTTGAAATTACAGAGGGCTATCAAGACCAAAGCACACAAGAAGAGGTGATGCGGCCTCTGGAGTCAAATGACGTCCGAGAATGTCAGAATCCTTTATATGGTGCCGTGACGGCAGCTGACGAAAGGTATACAGGGTAGAAAACCGATTAGTAAGACCAGTTGTGTTCCATTGGAAAGTAAAGCCCTATGTAAGGGACTCCGGATTCCAGAATCCGGAAAATTTTTGCATGTGGAATCCGGAATCTTGGAAATTTTGCTAGTGGAATCCTGGACCTTGGAATCAGAAATCCAAGTTCCACTGACAAAGATTTGGAATCCAGTAATTGTAATCCGGAATCCACGGCGTGGAATCCAGAATCCAAGACTGTCTTGGATTTCCTTACATGGGGCGATTTCAAAGTAAAGGATACTATAAGGCCGAGATACAGATTAGTTAACGCTCAAGTAAAAGTTTAAGGGAACAGTAGAAGTTGGGCAATAATTACACTTAACGTTTGCCAAGGAATAACAGTTTTCAGTTGGGTTCAATCAATGAACAGCTAAGAACACATGGTCTCAAATCACCCAGATCACCCCCGAGTAAATTTATTTGTGTTTTTTTCTTGTTGTTGCAGTTTTGCCTAAATTCACTCAAGATGAACAGATAGCCTGTCTACGTAGATGTTTGACCGTGTTACTAGAGCTTTCATCTTCAAGTTTATTTTTAATTTTGCTTTTAACAAATCATGGACTGTGACGACAAAATAAAAGTGCTTTTTGAAAGCTAAACATCATGAGTCATGTTTCCGGTTTATGATTGTTCTAAGTTGACATACCGTAACTCAATTCCCTCAACGATTCTTACGAGCACAATTTTCAGTCTTTCTGAACGCTATTATGAAATCCTTTCCCCCGGGTAAATTCTTAACCACATTTTCATCACTTCTTAACGCCATAGGAAGAATATGAAAGTAAGTCTGTCTCTCGCAGTTTGACAATGTCGTGTCGACTTAAAATTATGGAGCATTTAAGGATATGAAGTCCAAAATTTTATTTAAAGCTTTTAGAACATTAAAAAACTAAGCAACGTGTATAAAAGCCAAGCTGCCTTGGTTTTACAGGTTCTCTGCGGTGCACTAAAGATGATGTACTACATGACATTGAATTAAACAACTCTTATGCAAAAATTACATAAAACACATTTTTTTACAAGCAAGGTTTATAAAAATAACCTTAAGAACTTTCTATAAGGAGTCAATTTTCTGGGCTTGCTTTGTCTCTCGCTGTTGACGCGCCAGCGAAAAACCTTGATGTCAGAAAGGTTAAATCAATGTGAATTCCACCGGGACAAATACAGGTGGCAGTTTGTAGAGGACTGCCGAGACTTACGAAACTCAATTTCGTTAAAACGTTGAACGTTAGGTCTAGCTTTGATAACGAGTCTTTCAAGAAAATAATTGGTGTGATTACCCTTATAAATATTTTGGAGAGCTGGAAATTTTTATGGGTAACCAATACCGACTTTGATTGGTTAAAGGTTGCCACTTGGAAATCTTAGCCAGAGATAAAAATTGTTATCCAAAAGATCGGAATATCCTTGTACCTAAAGTTCTGACTAAATTCCTGAAGTCTAGCCCAAAATTGACAACTTTTTAGCAAAAGAAAAACACCTGCATCGTTTGAAAGCAAATTCGACGAATACAGATAACATTGTCCAGGAATACCACTCGAAAAATAGATGTCTCCAGGATAATAAGGGTGTGGGTGTTCTTTAAGGTGCCTCGCGTGCAATAAACAGAAGCAAAGTCAAACAGACCGAGATCGCCAGGACGAATACGAACCCAACTGTCACGTAAGTGAGTCCTGAGAACAAAACAAGAACAGAAAGTTAAGATGAGTGGCCAATAACTACGTAATATTGGTAATTTTAAAGTTGCGCGCCTGGCACTGGGGTGACCAGTGTTATGTCCAACCGCAAACAGTCCCGTAGTACAATTAGTCAATATTCATGAATTAACTTAAATTAGTATTATTAAATTGATTAATATTATTATTAAAAACATTACAGGACTGTTTGTGGGATTCTAGCGCTTCTTTAATAACAGCTATATTGTATCGTTCCTTGCCTCATAAGAATCACGCACCACATTACGAGAGAGAGACTACAGTGACGACGGCGAGCGCAAATTTAAAACCGGTTGATATGGTAAAGCAGCAAACCGAGCACCGGTGGTCGCATTCGGTCCTGTTTACGCGCTTTTGCGTGGCTGTTGCTAAATCTACCTAGCAGATCTGTATTGCAGATATGCAAACTGACCTGTAATAAAGTTTCAACTTAGTAACCCATGTTTACTAAAACGATGATGATGATGATGATGATGACTGATGATGACTGTACAAGAAAGTTAGAAACCTACCCTCTCTTTGATGGTATCGGTTACAGCAGCGAACCAACTCCAAAAGAACAACTGGGCTCAGACCCACGCAAAAGGCGATCACAAAATAAACTGCAAACTTAACATCCAGGTGAGGTAGACGCAGACCAAGAATTATGTTGATAACTGACAAAAGATAGGAAAGCAATTTAAATTAATTACTGACATGACCTCCAAGTTTCAGATGGGTGAGATGCCTTGGACGAAAACCATTCCAGTTTTGCAAGGAAATCGACAATAATTAGTCGTGTCACTTAATTAAGCACCTATTCAAATTCTAGAACCACGTGTGCAAAATAATTTTTAAAAAAGTTATTCCAACCCATCCTCCGTTTGCCTACGAATACAACTGTCTCTCAACGCTCCTCGCAGCTAGGGACGTTTTTGCAGGAGAAATATCTCCAGCGGCGAGGAGCGAGAAGAGGGGCTGTATGCGCAGACTAATCCTCAGTAATTAATGTGGCAAGTAACTCAAAAAAGCACCGTAGACGCAGAGGTGCCTACTGTACGTACGGCGTTTTTCCAGGCCTTCTCGGTCAATGCATTTCGGTGTACGCATCCGCGGAAAACGCGCAAGAACTGTCTAGACAAAAACGGAATGCACATGCGTGGGTTGCTTTCTTAAAATGTCTTTGTCCACTAAAACAATACTGAAAATTCTTTTGAACTTTCCCTTCCCATCTGTGTCTTCTAACTACATACTTTTCTCCTTGAAATGCGAAACTTTGGTCTTGAAAACCACCGCACAGGGATGTCTCACTTTTGTCTCACTTTTGAGGTTTTTTGTCTGGGATTCACTTCTTCGCTCGAACCACGTGACCCGAAACGCATTGAATGCGCGGAATAATGAGGCTTAAGGACTAGGCAAGGCGCAGAGAAGGCATTCAGAGGTAAACATATATGCATTACCCCACGCATTTGACAAAGAACTGGTCAAGTATATAAAGATAGAAGCTAAAATCGGGTGACTCACTTGCGAGGATGAATGTGGTAATGCCAACGCAGCGATGAGTCCAGTTAAAAATGTAGCGCCTGTGAACAAGTAAAAGCAGTACATCAACCACAACACAATTTACGAGCTTTGAAATTAATTGATACAGAATTTTTGAACAACATGAGCCTTAGCGTCAGATATTGAACTTTTTTAGTAGGAGTCTGTCTTTTCATCGGCAAATCGTAATGGTTATGTGGTACTTGAATTGAACTTACAACAAAACTGACGTGAACTTAACTTTAGAACAAAAACGATTATTCACTGAAGGCTGAATTTATATTGGACCCAAAGGATCACGTTTTTAACTACTATGGAACAAGGAAACACTGTCTCTCTTAATGTTCCACGTTTTTGTTTGTTTGTTTGTTCGTTTCTCTTTCTTTTTTTAGCGGGTGGGGTTGGATCCTCGCCTGGATAATGTTCCAAAAAAGTAAGAACGAATGACGGTTAATTTTTTTAAAAGAACTAGTCTTTTGGTCTTTTATGGCTATCGAAAGTGTTTTACTACCTTTCCGCATTTGGATCGGGCCTTAGAAGCGCCATAATGGGCTGTACGCAGGCCAACAGTGTTGCAATGACTCCTAGTATTGAGTGGGCTCCACCTGACTGTGTGCGGAAAAAAAAACAGTACATCAGATTTTTTCTCCAAGGGTTTAATTAGATCACAAGATGACGTTTAATAATCTTACATCAGACCATCCTTCGGCGTGAACAAAAACCAAAGCAAAACCAGTGATCGTGAGTAGTAAACAGGTGACGGTCAGAGCTCTGTGAACCTGAAAATAACAAGATACTGATAAGACAGGTGGAATTACTTTCATAAGGGCTAGCACTCCAAACTTTAACTTTTCAATCCATATACGTTTTCACTTTGTAAAGCCTAAGTGTTTCAGCCCCAAGATTTGTGCTGCACCACAGTCTCCTCAGAAACTGAACCTTAGTACTGATCAATGACGAAAAAGATCACTTTGTCTTGATTTACATTTTTTTTTCCTGTTAAGTCAGCGCACGCGGGACAGGATTCTTCATAACCTGTTCTAGGCTCTCAGATAGTAGAAATGACGCGTAAGTAAAGCCACGCAAAAATATGAGCGCGCGATTTGGGAACGGGGGCGGTAGCGGTCTTCCTCTCCCCAGTTTCCTCTCGTTCAAGTTTTATTTTTGTACTCACGCTTTCTGAAATTCGCAAACCCGGCTTTTCGGAGCTTGGAACAGGCTAGATCCTTCAATCCTTCAGTCTATGGTTACAGTGATTAACTATCTAATAATACAGTAAATATCTTTCGTATGATTTGATCTAAAAAATAATACGCGCAAATCCAGGAAATGTCAAGACCTGAGATATACTGGCCAGTTTGTGAATTAAGATACCACAGGGGGCCCATCTATTTATGCGGCAAGAACCAGCCAACAGTTTTGTTTACTGACCTGGAACCAAGCCTTCTTTCCACATAGCTCTCCCCTGGTCTCTTTCATATAACGCGCCACAAGGATAGCCATGGTGGCAAACCCAATCCAGGCCACAACCATAAGCGCTCCTGGAAATTAGTCAAAGCCGTCAGTCAAATAATGTTTTGAATATAGCCTGATGTCACGCCTCATTTAAAATATGGCCTATTAGAAGGTAACAGCAAAGAATGAGAAAAGAGAATAAAGTAGGAAAAGGAAAAGGTCAAAATTCTTTTTAATGCTTTGGTAAATGCTCATGAAAGTTATTTCAACTTACGTAACTGAGTTATTATGAGATCAAATTGAACTCTCTTACCATGTGCCCGCAGCAGTTTGAGGTCTGAGGATTTACTCTCAAGATTTGCATTAAGTTCACAGACGTCTACTTGACTGGCGCTCTGTGATTTTACACTATGCTTGTTCAGCAAGCCTCCTTAAACAAAAAAAATTCCACATTGAGGTCAAATCTTTATTAACCTTCGTTTATAAAGTTCACTCCTACAAAGGAGCTAGCGCTCTAAACACCAGCTCTTGAATCTACTTACGTTAGATAATATACCTTATTATTATATGGCCTTGATGTATTGACTGAGCGATGCATCAAGGACTCGGTCTGAGATTTCCCCGTGATGACCTCACTCTCAGTTAATAAGAATTATATAATAGCTTAGTTGATACTGTTTAAAAATAAACAACGAGTATAGTGACCAATGCAAAAACTTTTGATTTTACTCACCCTGAATCACACTACCGCGAGCGAAAATCAAAAAGACGTTCTGATCCAGACCCTGCATGCCTCTTGCAGTTTTTCCCCGAGAAAACCTACAACAATGAAGCCCATCAACAAAGTTTGCAAAATAGAGCAATCAGTGATAAATAGCGCCACGGTGAACCTGCAAGTATAATCAAACCAACGATTTGTTTTGCCGGCTTTTCACGCAGCCAACAATACTAACCTACACTTAATGACTCCATCTTCATAAGCACCAGCAATAACTTTGAGACCAGCAGGAGCCTAAAAATAAGTGCCTTAAAATAAATCTCACTGAATGTCGCCATGACATAAGGCTGACTGGGGGCTGGGGTGGGGTCCAAATTTACAGGAGGTTTTCTCCCCTGATTAAGGTCGTCAGCGGAAACAGCGACTCGATATGAAGCTATAGGATTGACAACGCGAATGTTTGTTTGAAAGTTTATAATAAATTAGCTTATTTCACATTTTTCTTTTCCCACCGCATCCAAAAAACAAATCCGTCTAAATGGAAAAAAGTAAAAATGTGGATCCACATATAAGTGAATAATTTTCCGAAGATGTGAACAAGGTCTCCCTAAAATCTACATTGTAGTTTCCTGCAATTAAGGTCCAATTAACTTACCGGGTTGGTTTGAATTGGACTGTTATAGCCTACCAAAGAATAATGGTTAACCACTGCGTTGTCATTAAGGCGAGAGCAGATGATAGCATCAGTACCATCCTAATAAGAAATGAAAATTGTAAATAAAAACTGCTTGGTAAAGTATTTGTTGGACTCTGGTAAATGCGAACTGAAAGTCGTTCGTGAAAGGGAACACTGAAGCAACGAAATCGCGACAAGAAAAAGACGTTTAGCTAGAAGGAATTCCTCACTCTTTAACAGAATAAGTGAGGAGGGAGGGATGCAGAACGCAGTGAAAAATTGTGTGACAGAGAAATCTGCCTGAGTTTCAAAGATTTATGAGACTTACCATCTTGCTTTGCTCGTTGAACCCTATTGCGACCCAGTCACTTCTCGCACTCAACTCAAAGCTGA